TTTTTTTCTGGGCGGATGATAGAGTCAACTGACGCATCCAAAATGCACATGAATTCGGTGAAACGGACAGTGTCTAGGCGACACGGTGCATCCAGAAACTGCATGTGCCAGTACGCTGGGGCTCAGTGGAGCTTTTGGGTACTTCTGCGAGCACCCAGGCCAAAATTTTTGGATCAGGATTTGACCGGCGCAGCAGTGAAATGGGTGCCTCGTCACCTAGATGTGCCAGGAGTTCGGCCCTAGTCGGCTGAGGTGGCCCGGATGAAGGAAGGGCGGGAGGGGCCGTCTGGTATTTCTGCCACTCGCCGTGGCGCATACGCTTGAGCCGACTTTTGTCCTCCAATTCGGCTTCCCGCACCTCTACGAGACTCATGGGATCAAGGAGTTCGCAAGCTCTGGCTAGACACGCCTTTGAAGCCTTGAGGTGTCCTTGAAGTCTCGGCACGGTGTGAAAGTAACGTAGGCAGGTGACACACGTGGGGTGTGGGGCGTACAGACGCGCCGGAGCAGGCAGGCCGTGACGCCTGGCAACGTGTACCCCTAAATGCTTACGCAAAGGGAAGCTGGAATCGCAGAAGGGGCATGGAAACTCTTGGATGGTATCCGGTATATGAGGTGCCGGGGGATCCTGGGCTCCCAGCTTGGCCCTGGTAGAAACCCAGTCCGCAAGGTCCTTCGCACAAGTGCGGATAGCTGCATTGATTTGGCGACGCCACCATGTGTGGTCGGTGACAATAGCATCAGAAAGGGTGAGGACTGGCGCGGCAGTCGCCAGAACAGTACTGACACCTGATTGATATAGGCTGACATGTCGCAAATCATCCTTCAGCTGGGTCAGCCAGGACCGGGCGGGCGAGGCTTCCCACTGGAGCCACAGCAAGTGTAGGAGAGTGGCTGGTCCATATTTTATCAGGCGTAGATAAAGGCCTGCCCTGGCTTTAGCTAGGGCCAGCGGAGGTGTCGTTGCGCTGGCCATGTGCAACGCCTCGTATGAATGCAGCTTGGAAGATACCTCGGTCCTGGGTCGGAGGGCTTTCCAGATAGACGTGTACAATCTGGCCCAAAGTCGCCAATGGCCAGCGACATGCAGTTCTAAGGTGGCAGACCCGAAAGTATACTTAGAACCGACCAACGCTCCGAGTAAATACTTGCGCAGTGCTAAAGGGATGCTTGCATTACCGAACAGAGGACCTCGGAGAGGCCTCAGCGTCCACGTGCTCTGCGAGTAGCGGTAATGAATCTCTGGGGCTACTGAGGCCCCGCTGGTGACAATACCTCCTAAGTGCCTGAAGGCCTGTACGACGGGCAATCGCTGACTGCAGACTGCAACCGGATCCCATATTGGGATGTGCTTAGGGGCATCTGGAGTGTCAGTGAGGATGAGGGCATCGGACACTGCATGGTAAACGGAGGGTGGCAGAATGACAGCAGTTTTGTCGCTGGCAAAGGTAAGTTGCATGCCTATAGCAGTGGCTTTGGCTAGGTAGCAGGCAGTGATAGCCTGAACCTTGGCGACAAGATGCGGTCCAGACTGTGCGGCAGTAAGGGCAACGAAGTCGTCAGCCCATGAGGCCGGATAGAGGGTGCGCGGGCGCTCAAGGCCTTCAAAGGGGGTGTTGCTTTGACAGGCTGGAAGTTCCGTTTGCAAACCCCGGCGAACAAGATCGCATTGCACGGACTGCACAAAGGCACTAAAGCTGATGGCAAACAGGATATCGGCGAGTGGGTCGCCGGGCCTAACCCCGGCCCTGGTGGAGACTAGTACACTGTCCACATCAAGCCTAAACCAGGTACCTGCGAAAAGCTCGCGAGTCATAGTGACCAAGTGCGCGGAACCACCATAATCCGCAATATGGTTAAGGCGAATCAGGTGGTCGAACAGCTCTGGCAATGCTGTATCCGGGACTCCGATTTTCCGAAAGAGCATAAGCAACACACGATCGTCTGGCTCGGCGTCGGTAAGAGTTTCTCTTATGACCTGATAGTAGGCGGCCTTGACGTCAAAGAAAATGAGGCCTGGGGATAACCCAGTGGAGGTTGTATGTGCTTGAAAGCAACGAACAGCCAAAGCGATGGCGTCTACGCCTATACCAGCGTGCACCCCGCCTTGTAGGTCATGGCCACACTGCTTCAGGAGAGGCACAAGCCGTCTACGTACACTCTGATGCAGGAGTTTCCCGGGTATATTGGAAACCATAATACTACGGTGCTTATCACACTCGAGCGACGCAGAGGCCCGTTTGGCCAGGGTGACTAGGGAGCCCCCCTTGAATTCTACGGGTTCTCGAAGTGTGAGCATACTTTTGGTATACAACGGCAAGAGTCCCCTGGCTGCGGCTCTGGTATGCATTTTTAGCAATTCAGATGTTACGCCGTCTGGTCCTGCGGCTTTGCCTTTTTGTAACCCAGTTATCGATCTTTCGAGCTCGGCTAATGTCGGTAAAAGCCTCCAATCGAAAGTGGTCTGGTGGTGACCAAGACGGTCTTGATCGATCGCAGCGAGTTGCTGGACATAGACCTTGGGGGACACCTCTTCTCCCAGCTCTTGCGCCGCAAAATGCAAACGCCAACGACTGGAGCGTTCCTGGGTGGTAGCTGCGAGGGAACCATCTTGCAACCTAATGGCAGGGAGCGGGGTGAACTTTGTACGTCTTGCAGGGGCAGCTTTAGGGAATGCCTTCCGCACACAGGCAAACAAATGTCTGGGATCACGGAAGCTGGCCTGCGACACCTCTGAAACAAGGCTTTTTAAATACGTACACCTATCTTGCTTGACAGCACTTCGTACTTGCAAACAAGAACGGCGAAGGGCGATCCAACACTGTGCAACGACGCGGTCCGCGTCTCTTAGCCATCGGTAGGTTTGCATGGTTGTTTCAGTCGAGAGCTCTGTGCCGGCCCGGTTGTGGGTGAGTGCAGCAAAGCCGACGATGTAGTGCCGTTTGGCAACCTCAGCCTCTGCCTCACCTAAGCGTTGACGTAGGAGCTTACGCTCCCGAACGCGCTCAAGGGTGTCGGGGGTCAAGAAGGTCTGTTGGGGACGTTGTGCTTTCTTGGGCATAACTGTACGACCTTGACTGATCCAACCGCGAGCAAAGTGCAGATAGTGAGCGTCCACGTCGGTCTGCCAAGGGACGGGAGTCAGGTCTTCAACACCTTGCTGGAAAGCCTTACAATCAAGGTGTGGATCGAGGTGGTTCGGACGGCATGCGGACCGCCTAAAGGTGGGGTGAGACTGGCCAATGGTGCGGGCAAACTCACAGCTCCATACAACAGGGAGGTGGTCACACTTTTTCTGCAAAGTTTCTATATCGTACCACACGTAGGTGTCTTGGGTGACTTGGCGCCACTGTTCAGAAGCGGCAACGTAGTCAATACGATGCTCGGTACCAGGCACATATTGCCATGTCCAGGAGTCTCCGTGGTGGATCTCCGGGAAGGTCGAAGGTAGGTAAAGCCTATGTGCTAGGAGGAACTCATGGAGAGCAGTGCCTGCCGGGTTCTCCAACTCTGCTCCTTGAGGTCCGACGGTCGAGCTCTCCAGATTGCCCAGACGCCCATTGGCGTCCATAAGTATGAGAAGAGGGGAGTCCGCAGGGATGCGGCGGAGCTCCTTTGCTCGTTCTCCCCAGAAGGCCCGGACAACACCGCCATTGTCTTGGGAGTCGGCGGGTGCGTGTGCGACCAAAATAGCAATCTTGAGATGCGGAGCAGTAATGTGGACCAGAAGATGGCGCGGTGAATATGCTGCGACGGTACAGTGCGACAGCTCAATATAGTGTCGCTGTCCAGCGCAGGTAGCATAGGGAATGGACCGACTGATCCATAATGCACATCCGTACTGACCTGCGGTATTGGCAGGTGAATGCAGCATAATGAACTGCCTGTCGGGGAGAGTGGCAGTCTCTTGCACACGGGTTTCTTGTAGGCCAAGGAAAAGCACTTGAGCCTCCAGCAGCTGTCGTACAAGTAGGTGTCGGCGTCCATGGATTTTGATTCCCTCGAGTTTACCCCGACCCTTGGTGCCGGGGGGTTTATCCAAAAGTGTAAGGATATTATATGTGACAGCACGGAGCCGAAAAGTGACGAGCTGCCCACTGGCTCCCGCAGTATGTTGTCGGCCCATATCGGGGGCAGACCTGGCAGCAGGGATAGTTTGCTGGAGACGGCTGGCCTCTGCCTCGAAAGCATAAAGTGTAGGCATATCTATGACGGGTCTGGCAAGCATCCACGCCCAATCTAGCATAGGATGGAGGACCAACTGTCCAGGCCAGCTAGGCAGCATTCTTTCTTCATAGGGATCTGGAGCGAATCTAGTCTGCTTTGCTAGCGCATCGCTCATTTCATTGCCTAAGTCGCCGTGGTGGCCACGGATATGCGAGTGACGTAAGTCAACCCGCATGGCGGCGATCTGGCGGAGGGCGACAGTTGTATGGCTAAGGGCTGGATATCCCTCAAGGGACGGTAGCTGCGCGGGCGTTGCCTTGGAGAAGGCGCCGTCCCCCGCAGCTATACAGTCGTACTGTAGGCAGACAGGACAATGAAACGCAGGGCCATACTCAATAATCCAACAGAGTGCCCAGTTCAACGCGAGAACTTCGCTCACAAGAGGGGTGTCACAGGGCTCCCCTAAACAGTAGGGGGTATGTGGCGCAGCAGAGGTGGAAGCTGCATGCCCGTAATAAAAGCAGCCAGCGGGCGTAGTGATCCATACATTGAAAGCCCATCCACATGGGGCGGAAAGCAATGGCTCTCGGCGACCACCTGCTGAACCATCTGTATATATGTCGATCCAGGTAGGGGAACCCGTATTGCTTTGTTGATGCCAATAGGCAATGTGCGGCAAGGCGTCACGTAGACTGGGTGCAGCAAGGGAGAAATGTCGCAGACTGTCGTGGGCATTGTCAAGCCAATCGGCTTCGGTGGCATGAGAAGGGGATTGACAAGCAGCTGGCAGTATATCTGCGAGGCCCTGGCATAGCTGCTGATAGGGCGACTTCTCAAGAGTCGCATCCAGACTGATGATGGATCGGGCGGATCCTTGCAATGGAACACCAGCAGCATGATGACGAGTATTGTGTGCAAATAGCACTTCCACAAGAGTGGCGGCAAGGTAAAAGGCCTGGCAATCCGGTTGTCGCGCACAACATTCTAACAGGGTGACGGTGTGGCCAATGCCTTCCTCTTCTTCGGACTCAGAGTCTGAATCGACTGACCGGGAGAGAAAGGGAGAATGGCTCCGGTCAGGGGCAAGAGGTCGAGCCATGTGTTTGCGACAAGGCGTAGGAACCGGCCTAGATGTAAGCGCAGTGTCCGGTAGGGTTTTGCCGTCCCCTGAGGGCATGGTGGAAACAGCGTTGGCCCCAATAAGGGACATTCCAACAACAATGGCAACAACAAAATACTGTAGAGGCCTGCCATGTCTGTGGCCCCATAGAAGTGGAAGGAGAGCGCCAGCTGGCAGGCTTGAAAGAAGGAGCCCGAGGAAGCCAGCAGCAAGGGAGATCCCGATACTTACTTGGAGAACAGTGCGGATTAGCACAGAGGCATAGTTCGGGCGGGGAAAGCATCCGCGCCATAAGGCAGAGGTGGTCCGGAGGAGGACAGGGGTGGCAATCTGTCTGCCTTCAACAAAGGCGTCTTGCATCTGAACAGATGACCACATGACTTCTCGACTCTGGCCTGTTGTGGCAGGTTCGTCCATACCACAAGCCTCTGCAACTGAAGCAGCACCATCCAAGATAGGAAGGAGTGGCTCAAGAATGCCTGCATACTGGTCGTTTTGTCGACCGTGCCAATGCGAACCGCCTGTGCCAGCATCGGTGGAAGACGAAGCGGCGGAGCTAGGGGCTCTACCATATACCTGGCTGGCCTGGGTATTCACACCTCCTGGAGTAGGTGAATGCACATATGTGTCAGGGTGTTGCTGGTTGGTGGCTTCCCTGACATAGTCGGGGTGGAACTCGGCGACTATCACGTCCCCTGTATCTACATATCGGAAGTGATTGGCTCGGTCTCCTGGCGCGCTACCCCCAAAAATTCTCAAATGGTATCCCCTTGGGCATCGGACAACGAGTCTGGTAGCGACTTCACTGATGTTAACACATCCGTTTGTAGCATACGCCCAAGTGATGGGTAATGCCAAGGGCCGCAGATCAAGGATATATGGAGTCCTAGGTCGACGGCCTACCTGGGGGTAATCTGCTAGCTGACACGCAATGAAGACACTATGGGATCGGGCACCTGCTCTTGCATGATCCCATATATCTGGGTTGGCCTGCACAAGTGTGAAGTGCCCAGCTGGAATGTGAAGTGCCGCGGCGGTAAGGGCACTATTGGCAGCGAAATTGTCGCGGTCAACATGTGTGGCACTCTGCTCACTATCAGCAAGGACCCATACCTGACTTGTGTGTTCACCCGGGATGTGTGGATTGACATCCCATGTGCGGCCAGCAGTTAGAAGTTCATGGGCGGTAGGTAGACGACCAAGATCGTCTTCGACATCACAAATGACAAGAAGATCCCCGGCTTCGACATAAACGTAATCCTGTTCCTGGACTGGCCATGGGACGTCCTTGACATACACTGAACATACTGTGTCTTCAGCGAGGCCTGAAATCCGAAGCACCTCGGCTTTGGTAAAATAGACCGGTAAGAAGACTGCAAAGGTACGGCAGGGAGCAACTCGGCGATCGATCAGGACCGCGACTCCAGCAGTATTCCAATGCGGCAAGGCTAACACACAGATTTGTTGTGTCCGGGGCTGTGGGAAGACGGGGATTAACCTTGGGCGTCGCATTTGCGCCTCTGGGAGGCGAACCTGCGTAACTGTGGTCAGTGCCTCTTCAAGGCGAAGTGGGAAGCGAAGAGATGGGACGATCAACTCTGGCCAATATTCTTGCGCAAAAAGCAGGAAGGGCACAAGCTCTGATTGTACCGGCCCGCGGCCGGATGCAGAGGCAGCAGGTAGAACATCAGTGGTCTCAGAGGTGGGCGACGCATCACTGGGTTGTGTCGCTTCTGCGGCAGCAGATGACGCGACTGAGCCGGTATTGTCATTGGCACGTGCAAGGCTAGGAGCTGCCTCGGTCGTGCGCTCCTGTGGCGCATATTCGACTATGAAAATCTGGCCTGGCACAACCCTGATACGGCCTGTGTCACTACTGGGATGCATGACGACAGTCCAACCGCGAGGCGCACCAGTTTCAAACTGTGCGCACAAAACGGTGAGGTCTAGTTCCCCTGCATAGGCTGTGACTGCTAACCAGCCTTGCTGGATGGGACGGCAGTCAACTAGGCAACTGCACTGGGAAACCTCACGTGTGGTAGGGGCAACGGCGACTGCAAGAATGGTGCGGCAGGCATAGCCAGCGACAGCTGCATCAAGCGGGCGCGGCTGTGCGGCCTGAATTCGCATGCATTGCTCATTGACTTCCGCGACCCGAGCTATTGCTCGTCGATATTGTAAGGGATTATGCGCATCTGCGAAGCATAACCTGCATTCGCCTGTGCTGACAACACAGTACACATCCACTGGTGGGAAAACGGGCAGAACAATGACCGTTTGCCATGGGGCAGATTGGAGTAACAACTGGCCCAAGTCCGTAAGGGCATGTGCAACCGTTCCCGCATTGGCGAAACGGATCAGGGAACCAGGAAAGAGGTGAGTGACCTGACCTCGTAAAAGAGGCAACGAGTCCGCACCGATTATAACTTCCACGTCATCGGGCCGCCTATCCCTGCAATTGGCTAGGGCGACAAGCTCTTCTTTAGTGGCATAATCAGGTGCCGGTAGAGAAAAAAGCCTGCCATCAATGGCAGTAGTGTCAAAACAGACGCCAGGGAAGCTGTGGGCCCAAGATGGGCCAGCAAGGTAGATGGCCCATCCCGGCATTGGCTGTGGTGTCACTGGCATCAGTGCTGGGTAGAGCCTTCGAGTATCTGGAGATCTCGTCGCCTGGACAGCGTATGCGAATTCGTCAAGGGTAGCAGGAATACGCGTGATGGCGATAACACGTTCTGGCGTATAGCCTATTTTTAAGACCTGGCACTGTACCTGGACGAGTGCTTCTTCCTCTGATGCGGATGTGCTGTCGACGTCGTCGAGTTCATCTTCAACCCCTATGAAGTCTGGCCTTTCATCATAAAGCCACCTGCCCCCGAGTTGTAGAACAATTGCTCTCAGGAATGCCAAGTGCCGACTTTCGTGGGCGGTACTGCCTTGTGGCTCCACCAGTAATTTAGCCTCCTTGGCATGGATCTCTTTAGTCTGCCGATAGTGTACACCCTTACTGTCGGAGTTACGTCGGGCAAGTGTGTAGCAGCGGGTGCACAGTCTAACCTCTCGGCTCCAGGAAACACCACCGAGAAGGCAGAAGAGGAAGAGAACCCCAAAGACGGTGAACCAATTTGTCCCAGCAGGTCCAAAATCATGGTGTGTCTCACTGCCGAGGGCGCACGCAGCCACAGGCGTGGTACATTGGCCAAAGAGAAACGTAGAAAGTAGCATGCGCAAACCAGCCGCTGCAGGAGTGGTCAGCTGGCAAAGGAAACCAAGAGCTACACCGTGTGCAGCAGAATTGACAGTGGATGAGGGTGGCGGCCTTGCATAAAGCTGCTGACACGTGGGGTTGAGCCGAAAGGACTCACCGGGAGCGACAGGTGAACGTCGAGGGGTACGGCTGCGTGCATCACTGTCACCAAAGCCACTGTAAGGGCCGTCTGGCAACGAGGTTTCGTCGAAGCCCCCTTCATCCGCACTCATCTCTGGCTCTGAAATATCTGGACCGAGAGAGCGGTTCTCTGTCGGGACAGCACTGGGAGGTGTTACTGGAACATATTGCACCACTAACACCTGACCTGGCGCGACTAGGAGGTGGTCTCCTTCAAGAGGGGACCCGTCAATCTGAACCTGATGATCAGGTGGAGCCCACAAATCGTAGTGCTCTACCATTTCGGTATGGGAGCAGTCATGATCTGTGACTATCCACTGATCCAGTCCCATGAGCAGGGGTCGACAATCCACAATGATAGTGAAGGCGTTGAACCCTGGGCGTCGCGGCGGGACAGGTATGTTGGGTACCTGATCAGTGACACTGGCAACACCTTTGCACCGCCTGCCATCAATGACAACATCACGAATGGGCGGGTAGGCTATCTGTATGGTTGTCCAGTGATAAGGCAACCCTAGTGCATTAGCGACATCTAGGTTACGGTGTTCTGAACGGCCCGGAAGAAGGGTGAATCCCTGCATGCCATTCTCATGTACTAGACAAACCTGCTGCGCCTGGTTCCACACCACATTGGTTGGAATAGGATCGTTCTCGTTCCAATGCGCAAGACTGGAAAGCACATATGAGAGGCTGGGCGCATGGGGCACCAAGGAATCAGGTCGACAGAAGCAGATGACCCCATATGGTATCAGCACGAGGTCGACAGTGGCATCCATCGGGCGTCCGGCACCAAAGGGGTATACAGCATATCGAAGATCCGGGTCGAGATCGGCCTTCCGAATCAGGTCTGCATATGTGATGCGTGAAGGCAGGTCGACAACATAGACCCTGCCATCGATTTCCCGTAAATCGAAGACACACATAGGTTCATCCTGTGCCCAAGCCGGCAAAGCCACGACAGTACCCCAATGTGCAGACAGCTGTTGCTTTGTCGGGACAAGCTGAGAAAAGTGGCTAAAGAAGTCACCTTCCAGGGTTGTAGCAATCTCATCCAATGCCGCCTGTGTGGTAGCAGGCAGCCGGAGCCGCACTGTGACATTCCGTGAGGCGTGGTGGCGGGCAAGCACGAGGAACCGGGCCAGGTATGTCGGTATGGGATCAGAAGTCTCGGAGGTACCCGAGTGAGGGCTATCATGATTCTGTCCGATGGGGACGGGGTTGCCGGCAACCTGGCCCCTTGTTAGGCCAGGGATGTGGGTGGTCTGTATTGCTTGGGTAGCCCGGCGAATAACTGAAGCAATAGCGGCAGACCATTGAGGAGGGCCCTGTGGTAGAAGGAGCGGCCCGCGACCAGCAAAATCCCTCCAAGTGACTTCGACAAGGCAGCAGCCGAGCTCGACAGGCTCGGCAGTCGCAATAATGTTGAAGTCAAGAAATTGGCTTAGCTCAGGCGGTACTCCAACATATGACGCGAAATCATCCAGGCAATGCTCTGCAGCAGTGGTATAGAGAGAGCAAAGGCCTGACCCGATAGGGCGAGCATCAAATACAAGAGTGAAAGGGGGCTGGCCAAACTTATCTAGAAGGCCAGAATCGGACGCTGCGACAACAAAGCAATGGCAGGGCTCCCCAGTGACTTCTAGATCAGAAAGGCCAGCGAGGGTCCGCAAATGCAGATCGTCACTCGTGACTCCTAGGAGTTGGCTGATCCTGGCCTTGGCGTCACAGCTCTCTAAGTGACAGCCGGCAAATGGGTGAACTGCGCCTCGGAGGTGCACTGCATAACCTGGCAAAAGAGACGTAGAAGAAACATGATGCAAATCAGCCCACGGGGCATCGTTCTCAAAGAGTCGGCTAATATGCTGTGCGCGGCCCGGGTCAGCACCAACGGGAAGAGCAACTATTACGTCACCATGTTCCAGGGAAAAGGTCGTATCTGGGAGGGCCTTCCTACGCTGGGGTCCTATCCATAAATCCCAGTCAGAGGACTCACCTCCTATGATACCAGCAACTTTTCTGCAAAGGGTGTCCCATGTGCACGAAGCTGGCAGCACATCGGCAAAGTAATGGCCGTGAACCCGAGTCAGATCCAAGATCACTGCGCGCCGTTGGAGCTGCGTTAAACAGGCAGGAAAAGCAACAAACATTGCGGCACCCTCATAACGCTGAGGTCGGAGAGGGGCAATGCCGTGTAAGTGTTGATGAAGGGTGATGTAATGCTTGGACGCCTGCTTCATCACCGAGACCAGGGTGGCACATGAACTAAGCCTAAGGCCAAAGGAGACCTTACGATATCCTGGGGCAAAAACCTCTATCCCTAGCCAGGTATGTGGCGGAACATCAGCAATGTGCCCACTAGGCAATGGTAACGGGATTGTGTCAATACCATAAGGGGGAGTATAGGCTTGACGTTGATAACCCGAGGCTTCCTCGCACGGAGCGGGTGGTAGAGGTTCCGGAAGCCCTACAATGATGCGCTCAGCTGCAGCAAGCGCGGTAATAAGTCCAGGCGGAGCTGCCATGACTGGTTGTGGCATGTTAGAGAAGGCAAGCAGCCCAAGAAGAATCCAGCTGAATCGAGGGCCCCGGTGTCGTCCTGAAGGGCTCCTGATGTTGACCTGCCACCGCAAAACAGGGGAGCTGGTTCCTATATTGCCTAACGGAAGCAGCAGTTCCTGGCATGGACAAAAGGAACCCATCAAAAAGATCCTGCCTAAAGGCGATTTATGGAACCCAAGCTGGCGAAGGAGGAGCCGACAAAGGGCGATGTGTATCATAATAAGAATGCAAATCAACACGGATACAGCCTGTACTGACCACCAAAAAGGGCTGAACCTCAGTGCGTGGTTCCAAATGCCTGTTTCATGAGGGCCGGGATTAGGGACTAAACCCAAGGGGAGAACAGAGGTCGCTATAGCGGCTTCACAGGCTGGTATGGAAAGGGAGCTTCCAACAGGTTGATACCCCTGAGCCACCGATGTATCTATTAGGCACCTGATGAAAGACCCTATTGCTACACTGGATCGGGCGGAGCACAAAGATCTCGACACCACTTGGCGGGGGCAACCATCCCATGCGCAAACCCAGTGCATGAGAGGTGCCGAGGAAAACAGAAGTCCAGGCAGCAAAGGAGAAGGCCTGAAAGGCCCGAAAAGAAAGAAGGAAGACCGTAGAGGTCCATAAGAATCCATTGGCAGATCGCAAGTTCCCGCCCCTGAGCCACCGATGCGGGTATTTGGCACCTTGCGTAGAAGCATGAATAGGAGGGAGGGCCAGCGACCCGACCCCTGGCAGGGATTGTGTTGGGGCACAGAGATCGGAAAGTCCCCATGAGAGTACACAGCACGGTTGCTGTGGGGCTGGATCCCATAGCCTAAAAAAGGCTGCAAAACCGGATTCCATGTATGCACGAGACGTTGGTCACAAGGTGTGGCCGACAAAGCCCAATCGGCAACACCTCGGATAGGGGAAGATAAAAGTCCAGACAGAATCTTTGGCGCGGTAGCCTGTGGGAAGGAGTCTGGAGAGGCCTGAGGGCAAGGACTGTGCATATCGGGGTGCTGCAGAAGGAGAGCGCCTGGCACATGAAAAGGGGAGCGCCCTAACACTACCATCTGTACAAGGGCTAACATCTCCTCGGGTTGGTCCAACAGCGAATAGCGGTAGTGTGTCCAACCGCCGTCACGCACCTCCCAGCATAGATTCACAGGGTGAACCATGGTGAGAGGGCGGTCAGGGAGGCTGTTGCACACCGCCCTTCGCCGGGGACCAGCCGCTAAGCAGGGTCTCCTGGAGCAGAATCGCCTGGAGGGCGCCAATGCGGCTGATCTTCGTCTCCGCTGCCTTCTCCATCGTCCTCCAAAATCTGCACACGTTGTCCTTGGCCTCCGGTATGGGGAGGCACGGCAGCAGTGGTACCCATCTCTAGCTTCGGTCCTCCCGCGCTGGAGGGTTTGGCTCCACCAAATGGTTCTATGGCTCTCCTCCGGGAAAGCTTTTCCCGAAGAGAAGGGCTGGGGCCGTAACCTGGCAATTCCTCGACACTCTCGGCTGCAGGCATGGCACTTGCCACGTTCGGGGCAATATTGGGTGTCACAGCCGGTACCACCGTTGTCATTTCCAAAGGTGGATGCATGGGTGCGCCCACAATGGTGGGCGCTATCCCTGTCGTCGGAGTAGCGGGCATCAGACCGGGCGGAATGGACATGTGGGTATGCGCTGTCAGGTATGGATCTGCGGCTGCCATTGGTGTCGCAGCTTGTAGTGTCTCTGGCCCTGTCGAAGCTCTTGGGCCAAGCTCCTGTGGACCAGGGGTACGCTGCATGGCCGTCGTCCTTTTTTATGGGCGTTGTGGGTGGCAGGCCAGCCACCATTGCTCTGCGTAGAACCTGATCCGAGGTGTCCTGATCTTCCGACGTCCAGGCCTCGAAGGTCTTCTCGACGTCCGCCATGTCGGCTCCCATGTCCACGTCGATTGCTGTGCCACGAGACTGCTCCGCTAGGAACGCAGTACGCAACCCTGCCCTCGCAATCTCTTGGGCTTCTTCTGCGTCTAGCAGTTCCTTGTCCAACCGCTCCTGGTCTTTTGCGTAGCGCTGTCGCTCGCGCAAAAGCGCGTCTTTGAGCTTCTGCTCGTAGTCCCTCATCTTTTTCTCCGCCTCCACCTGCGCTGAACGTAGTCGAGAGACCCGGTTCTCTGCTTTCCTGGTGGTGTTGAGTGCCGATTGGATAGTGGCTGTGGTAGACCCTGGCATGTCCATGGTCCCACCTGTGTGCAAACCTCCAGAAGCTGCAGGTCTCATTGACGCATACGAAGGAAAGGCTGGCTGGTCGTTGCGGGCATCCGTTTTCCACGGTGCTTTCCGCTCCCTCGGAAGCTGTGGGGAGTATGCCCCAGGCCATACACGATAGCCAGATCCGGAGCCAGCCCATCCTTGCTGCTGACCTCGTCCCCGGCCCATATGGTGCCTATGTCTACCACCAGTAATCGAAGTCCAGGCCCCAAGAGGGGGTGCAGAATGATGATGGTAGAGTCGTTTGAGATCGCGAGCTGAGGGTTGGCGCCCGTGAGTGCGAGCCAATCTTGCCCGTGCACGGGCCTTCGAGCGTCTTGTCCGCAGTCTTCTATGCCAGCTGGGACTCGCTATGGCTGCAAAGCGTACGGTCAGACCGTACTGGGGCAATGAGCAATCCCTGACTACGGGTGTTCTCGAGCCCTACATAGTACTGTATTGGTAATTATTAAGGCCCCTACATTAGGGCGATTGCGCGTCTTCAGTGTCACTGACCCTGATTCTCCCAAATCCCGCATACGAGCCTAAGCTCTGTTTCGCCACAACCCACAATCCAACACATCCGACAGGAACCTTTGAACACTAAACCCCCAACTAAACCCTAAACCCCTAAACCCCTAAACCCTAAACCCTAAACCCTAAACCCCTAAACCCCTAAACCTAACGGCCCTAAACCCTAAACCCCTAAACCCTACAGGCCCTAAACCTT